GATTCAAATTATTTTTAAGGAGCTTAATCTTAGTGAACGATATTAAACCAAATCATAACTAATGATTCATGATTATTAATATCATTAACAATTTCGTAATTATTGATATCATCGAAGTTGTTAAGGTTTACGCAATATGTAATGTGTTGTTTAGTTGGTACCCACAACATAAATTATAATGAATATAATAATTTAATTAAAATATTGAAAATTCAGAAAAAGAATTACCAAAAATGTATAGCAGTTTAATAATATAATAACCTTCTACGGGTCCATACTCCATAATGTTTTTAGAATCGCGATTTCGTTCCACGGTCAAGTTATTTCAACACCTGTCAGTATACAGGCCACCGTGGCATAATTATTTTTAATTCTACTAATTCTTAGACGACATTATATTACATTATAATATCCTAATATTATAATAGTATACGTCACGGTACAGTAATTGTCGAACGGACGTCCTTTTGGCTTTTCGTGTATATTTGTATATATATGTGTAGAGTAATGATAAGTTACAATTACAGTATAATATTATAAATTTTTAGTCAGACGGTGACGATATTACACTATATTAAAACACGTATATGATGTACCATGTACAGTAAAAATAATAATAATATAATAGTGAGTTTGCGTCAATCTATCTCACTGCCGGACCGGACGGCATTATTGTAATAATACACTGAGTTTCTTATGCTGCCATTAAGGACAAAAGGGGTGCTCTGTTTAGCCGCCACTGTCCGAGGACGACCTGTACGTATGCTATACCTATATGGTTCCTGAACCGCGTCGGCCTTGTAATGATATATAATCCCTTTTGTGCCCACAAAGACTATTTGGCGCCAACCAAAACAACATAAATGGAATGTTGCTGGTGGCAATCTTATCTTATATATTATATAAAATAATATTATACTTATATAGATTTCGTACACTACCAACAACTATGGACCTGAATTTTTATACATGTTAGTTGGTTCCCTTTTACGCGGCTGAGGAAACAAAATAACATCGTTCTTTAACTGCTGCTGCAGGTGAATCCAAATTTGATACTCATTGATCATCGCGGTGGGCATTATTATTATTATTATTACTTTTTTTATGGTGGACGTTGGCGAGTATACTCCGCATTTATTTGTGATGGCACGCCGGGGGTTCTCTTTCTGTCGTGATACGATGACATGCATTGGGAAAAAATTTTTCAACAAAACTCTAGAGAAATGTGCCGATGGACAACGCCTTTCAGAATTATAACCGTGAAAATTGTTGATAACAGGCTATTTCGAATTGAAGTTTGCCCGATAATGATTTATGCCGTTAGTATAATATATAACGTGTCGTGTATAGAATTATTATAATAGGTAGTAATAGCATATTATCATACAATAACGATATTTCATAGTATGAATATAACAACCAACAATTGAATTAAAAATACTTTGTGTGTATGCATTTTATGTATATGATTGTATTTACCGATTTTTAATTTGTTACATAAAAAACATTATTTCGTTTACAACATATTTTATAAAGTAAATTATTATTTCTACCGCAATAACTAATTGTATTACTTATTAGTCATTATCAATTAACAACAACTAGCGAATTTTATCAATAAATAAATAATATGTTATAACATAAAGAATAATTGGTGATGTTAAGCGTTTTATAATATTTTATACTTATTAAATAAGTGAGAGTATTTATTTATAGTAGGTAGAAATATTATTAATTTAGTAATGAAGTCTGTTACTATTAATTGTATAAAACACATGTTTCTATATTTAGATATACATATACATTTCTGATTTAGAATTGAGTATCTTTTAGAAATTATGTTTTACGTATCCGAATTCACGATAAACCTTCCATAAATAATATCTAGGTGACCAAAATAATAATTCGTTAGTAAACATTTTTCGTTCTGATTTCATTGATTATTTGTAAAATGTATAGTAATAATTTGGTATACATTAATTATAGGTGTATTTTTATCAACATCATCATAAAAAGTCCCTCCAAAAACTATTTTTTGTAACAAAAAAACTCGGAACATGTTTTCGGTGTTTCAATAATTGTATGAAACGTGGGTTTTTATTTATTTGATAGACAAATTACGACTATAATTTAGTGTTAACAGTGAACGACTTTATTAATCATAGACTAAAATTTTTATACGTTATGCCTAGTGTCTTATTTTATCTGAGCAAATGATTAGAAAAACAGTTGGTACGATGGTAAAATTTGTTCGTTATACATTTTTAGTAAATACTCATATCATTAATCATGTATTCATGTACTCTATTGAGAACTGTCTGAAGTTTAGTAAGCATTTTCTTACTTACGTATACATAGTAGATACCTCTTAAGTGAAGAAAATTTCAATTAAAAAATCAATTCATTCATTAAAACAACTTGTGGTGACGCGAAATTAAGGCGATTTAACTACACTACGAGTTGACAATTATTCTTAAAGAAATTAATATTTATCAAACCACAGACTTTTCTAATAACGAATAATATTATATATTACATCGATTTATTGGCTGTAGGTTAAATTTTTTGATAATATTTTCTATCTCAATATCCCGTTATGGGACATAATTGAACAACCTTATTATCACATTATTGACGTACCACCATCGATATTACTATATAAGAAAAATTTAAATTGTTAGTTAGGATAAGGCATATTCGGTTTTAATTTATTTTCGTCGTCACTCCAGTGATATAATATTATACATATTTGACGAAAACAACAATATCGCGTAACAATAATAATTACGAAAAAAAAAAAATGTTTTCCCTAAACGTCGGACGATGAGAAAAGTAAATAAAAACAACAATAATAATAATTAATTGTTACAATAATAGTATCATGTAATCGCATCGTAAACTGTAGGCGACGGACACGCCACCGGCGTTATCGCCGCAGACAACTTTGTTTTGGCGGCAAACATGCGGCCACGACGGCGGACGGCTCGCGCGAGTTTGTGTTCTGTGTTGTTTTTAGGCGGGATCTACCGCGCGGTAGACGTCGGCGCCAGACGGTCAGCTGTTGCCGGCCTGATCAGCTGATCCGTATTGTCAACAAAGCGCCCGCGCGCGCGCAAAGCGGGCCTGCATTCCTATGAGCTGCGCGCCCCTCCGCCCCTAAACCGGTTCCGTCTGCCGTAGGCGGCCACAGTCGGGATCATTGTCTCTTCATTGCCGTCGACCAGTCGCTCGTTAACCGTGAACCCTGTGACTCGTTTCAAGCTCGTCCGTTCTCATCACGCTACCGTCGCCGACGAAGTACTCGCTTCCTCTGTCGTCGAATAATTTTATTTTTTTTACAAAACCAATTTTTTCCGCTAGTAGTTTCTACAATTTTTTTTAATAATAGTGTTGATTCAGTGTACGATCTACGTCTGTATATCCGTACGTTTGAACTCGAGGTGCAGCGTGCCAGATTTGCGTACTATCCGCGTCCTTCCCCCGTGCGGTCTTCGACCGGAAGGGACGATTCGACGACCGATACACGCGTAAGTCTTATTAGATATATTTCTATTGTCGTTAAGTCTTATGTTGGACATAGTAATAATTGGTGTTCAGTCGCATCCGCGAAACACATTAAACCTTGATAATTTTTTCGTCGATGGTACACATCAGTACGCGACATATCTTCGCGCCCTCATTTGTTAGAAAATTCGAAGATACATTTTTTGGTCACAAGCGAAAATTAACGATTTTGCCACGGCGGGCGATTGGCATCGGGTTTTGCGCGCGTGGAAAACGATCGCGATTCCGGTGACCTCTGTCGGTCGGCGGTGGCGGCGGACCCCCTGGTAGAGGAGCACGGAACTCGCGCGCAATAGCGGACAATAGGAAAACGCTTTTGGCGCCCGTTTCCTCGCGTCATCCACGTACTCTTGCGGCGCGCGCGTTTCCCGCCACCACAGCGTCGCCGCCCGAGGCCAAAAAAGCCCGCCCAATCTCGTTGTTCGGTCCACGCGTCACATTTAATTTTTTTGTCTTATAGTTTTCGTTCTCGCCTTTTCTTTTTGTTTTCCTCGATTAAGACATTTCGATTTTTGCCCATCGTGTCCTTTCTGTCGTACGCTATTAACGACTACTAGAATTCGTTTTCAATTGTATTTTACCAAATAGTACTCTGACGTGCTGCACTCCGATTACCAAGTGGTTTTCGATTTGCCTACTTGCATAGTTGTAAAAAAAAAAACACCAAATAACAATTTTTTTTTTAATTTATTACAATTGAAATATCTACATTTCTTAAAAGTCCCTATGAAGACTGCTAAATTCATTTTTTTTAATCTACAGTTTTTAGGTTTAAAAAAATTTTTAGAAGGTATATCAATAACTAATTTTGTTCTTTAAATAATTTTTTTATGGTATATTATTTTAGTTTTCTAGTTCATTAAAAATAATGTTATAAATTTCATCAATATGGTTATCGTTAAAACAAAAAAATCAATCAGTTTAAAATACTTAATTTTAGTTCAGCTAGGTAAATTATGTTATACTATATATTGTATTTTAATTTAGCTATCATACTCATCATTATGTTTAAATAATTCATAAATATTTTCAATCCGAATGGTTAGAGTGGCTGACATTTTATACTAATATTTACATATACATATTATGGTGTTAAATTACATTTAATTATTTATTACAAATATCCTGTACATAGACATGCATTTGATCTTTTAATATAATCTTATGTTAATGACTAGGTAACTTCTTAATGTATACCTACCTAATTAATAAATATAATATATTTACCTATTTATTATTAAGCGTTGTATAATTTATTTATAATATTACATTGATTCATTAATACATACACATATTTTTCCATTTAAGTTTATAAAATTTCACATATTATAAATGTACTGTTTTACAAACATTTTAAGATTTTTATTTTTACATCATTTTATGTCACAAAAATGGATAAATTATTATAATTCTTGACATTTATTTTTATTTTTCAGATATTATTAATTTCTTATAGTTAACTACAATGAATGACGCCAGTTCATCTAACATTGATGGTGTTTTGAAAAGGAAAAGACATGTAAGCCCATTTATATTGTTATGCTATTATAAATGTTATTTTTTTTTTCAAATTATTTTAAATAGAAAAAAAAATATGTAATAATTAGACGGTAATATTAGATGTGTTACTATATGGTTCCTTTATAATTAAAATATTAATTATTTTTTTTATTTTCATTATTGATACTATTTTTTGAAATACTAGAAGTACTAATAGAAATATTCTTCATATTCATATACATTGCTTGCTTATTATAATTAAATATTACTTATTACCTACTTATTTCCTAGCATTTATTATTCAATTTATATACATACCTTTTATCCTGTAAATGGATTGAAATATGTAGTATTATATGTATTGGTTTTAGTAATTTGAAAACTTATAAAGGTATCAAAATTATAAAGTGATTAAAATTTCTTAATTTTTTTTAAATAGCCTAGTTGTACAATTTGTTTTAATTAAATACTTAAATTATTTGTTTTAATTTAGAACTCTGAAGGCTATTTACATAGTGGTACAGTGTCGGGCAAGCGGATGAAAATTGACCATAGTCCTATTGATCTTCCAAGTATTTTATCTAGATCTAAATTACATGGTTCATCACAGTCATCACTATCGGATGATAGTGAGCATCAATATTTTACTAATTTACAAAGAAACTCTAGAGTAAGAGCTGACTCTGATCCATTTCAAACTAACTCTGAAAACAGTGATTCCTTCCAACAATTAACTGTTGGTAATAATGGTAGTGTAGAGCGGCGGCCATTATCTGAGTTACAAGTTCTGTCACCGGACTCGCATTCAATTTATTCAGATGATAGGTAAGTGATAAAAAAATTTTTTTTTAAAATATAATAGTTGTGAAATTGTTAATAATTTATTCGATATACTTAGGTCGGAATCAGAAGCTAGTAGTCCTGCTCTCAGTGAACCTGCCCCATTATTATCTGACAATGAATTAAGCCCAGATTGTATTGATAGTTCTGAACCAAAGAAAAATATTGAAAATGATCCACCTACATATGTGCCTACTCCACGTTATTCAAATATTCAAGATAGTGTTGGAAGTACTATAGTTACTACTTGGAGCAAGTAAGTTACAAATTATTCAAGTTATAAAATTGACAATGTAATTAAATTTGTTATAATATAATTGTTTTAGATTTCGTGACATGGCCATTAACCAGAAGCCAGTTGCATTAAATGAAAGACCTTGTCCATTGCCAGAAATTCCTTGGGGTAAACGAGCAGCTTTTTGGCAAATGATATGTAATAGAGATTCTGTAACATTAACATACAGAAATCCTGATTACCAAGATTGCCATGAACATATAACATCTCGAATGAGAGCTATTCTTTTAGATTGGCTTATTGAGGTATTATTTCATGATAAATTGTTATTATAATATTTAAAATTATTTATGTATATATTATAAATTACAATGTTTTTATTTGATTTTAGGTGTCATCTGTTTATAAGCTACATAGAGAAACTTATTATTTAGCTATGGATTACTTAGACAGATATTTATCAAACAGTGATTCTATTCCTAAACAAAAATTACAACTCATTGGTAATTACACTTTTCCAGCCTTAATTCTTAAGCCATACAAAGAGAAGTTAATTTAGTGTTAACTTATTTTTTGTACATAGGAATTACTTGTCTATTTATGGCTGCCAAAATGGAAGAGATTTACCCTCCTAAACTAACTGAATTTGCTTATGTCACTGATGGTGCATGCACTGATGAAGATCTGTTAGATATGGAGAAAATATTATTAATGGTAATTAAACTTAAATATTATAACAATTAAACTAACTACAAAAAATTAACTAATTTTTTATATATGTTCTTTAGCATTTGCGTTTCCGTTTAACACCTATTTCTATAAACTATTGGGTAGAATTAATGTTGCAATTCATTTGTGTTGATGATAGTACAGCTGAAGACAGTTTAATTACTCCACAATTTCCTCAAAATTTATTCAATCAGGTGGCTCATCTTTTAGATTTAGCAACTCTAGACTCGACTAGCTTACGCTACTCATATAGTGAATTGGCAGCGTCTGCTCTTACTATAGTACTAAATAAAAAAATTGCTTTAACCATTTCTGGTAAGTTATTTATAAAAAAAAACTAAATTGATTTTGATTTTTAGTTAAACAGTATTTTTAATTATTATTTTCATGTAGGTTTATCAGAAGGAAATGTATGTAATTGTGTTGAATGGATGTCTGTATACTGGAGTGTAATTCTTGAAGAATATCAGTATGAAGAAATTGATTTTGAAAATGATTCAGAACAAGTAGATGGCACACATGTTAAACAACAACACTTAGTCAGTATGGATATGTATGTAAGTATCATTTATACATGTTTCTTATGGTATTGTAAACTCAATTTAAATATTTTCTCATTCACATTTATCTGTTAATTTTGCTCTCAGATGTAAAAAAAAAAAAGGTACATGTATTTTTTAAATATATTTTTCTATGTAGTAGAATTGTATTTTATTGAAGTATATTGATTAATGTTAATTAGTTTTAATTAAATTTATTTATATTTTTAGGATTTAGCACAGAGTAGATTTGAACTAATTCAGTTATCCCGGATTAAGGGTCCAGTAACTCCTTCAAACTTATTAACACCGCCATGGAGTGGTAAAAAATATCCTGTAACAGCTGAAGAATGCAAACCCTCATGTAGCTACAAATAAAAATTAAATACTGACAACACCAACAGTAAGATTTTTTATTAAAACATGTATATCTTACCTTGCAATTGGTCATTGTATTCAGATGTATTCTAGTTTTCTTTGTGTTAAAAAATATTTTATTTTAATTGATAGATTCTGTCTTGACGACCTAGATTATTTAAATGTGCAATAATAATCTATTTTTTTTTTTAAATTAGTACTGTTGGTAGTTAATTATAATTATACATATAATTTGGAAATCAGTAATTATACTGAAAATTTTTTTCTTCAAAGTAAATAACTGATTTCTCTCCTGAAAAAGTGTAAAATTAAGGTCAACGTTGTTGATTGAACTGGTGTTCCTCATTTAAAGTTATATCAAATTGCCAAAATTAAAAAAAAAAAAAAAAACAAAAAAGTATACTTGGCCTTCATGTCAATTATAATTTTATGTATCAATTACAATGTATATTATATATGATTATACTAAATACTTAATAGACTCACAAGTAATTATATTAGGATTACTATTACAAATTTTTTTTATAAGCCATTCCTTCATATTACACAATCTTATAATTTTGACTTTTTATATCAAATTACATTATCCTTTTGTATTCTAGTCTTATTTAGCTGATAATGATAAAATTATTTTGTGTAGCATGTTTTATTATGTACATTTTTTTTTTTTTTTTGAAACTTTAAATTATTATTTCCTTATGTTAAGATGCGTGTATTCATGGTTTTATGCTAACTCCATGCATTAGTTATGTATATGTATATGTGTAATATTGAAATCAATAATTTTCTAATGTGGCAGTTTCTTTTTATGTAATGCAATGACCAGAATTTTTGAAAAATTTGTATAAAATGATCTCCGTTCAACATTAAATTTGTATTAAAATATATTATAGAACATATAAATATATAAAAATGTTTCCAATTTTTTTTACAATAATTATGTGAATTTCATTATCTAACTTACATTTTATTCATGTTATAGTAATCATTACTTACATAAAAAAAATTATTACTAGGCCATTAATAAATTAGAAATAATTAGGTTGGGGAGAAGAATTTGTATATTTCTTTAGTTGGTATGCATTTAAATTTAATTCTTATCAATGGGAGTATATATTTTATTGGGATGATAAAAATTCTTTGTTATATTATTAGCAGTTAAACATTTTTGTTTTATAGTTAAAATTATTTTATTCACAGTTATAAATCTCTATAAACATAATATATAAATATATATATATTTTTTTTATGTACATGTGTATAATGTAACTTAAACTGGCTTATAATAAATTATGATTATAATTATTATGAAAATCTTGTGTTGTTTTATTGTATAATTTTAAGTATTTTGTTTCCTTGTTATAGTTTTTGAATGATAAACTATAGTTGTTGATTATTGCTTGTGACTAGTAACGTTTCTTTTGAAAAATATTGAACCACACATTCATGGTTCATTATTTGTTTAGTATGTTGAACATGATTATGTCTTATGAGTTATGAATAGTGTATAATGAGGATTACCACTGACTAACCATGTACTCATTTTTTACAGGCCTTGATGGCTTTATTATTATAAAATATATGGTATAGTAATATGGAAATTTGATTAGAATATTTATTATCTTGTTTATTGTTGTCTCTGCATCAAGTTATATCACTTAGTCTATAAAAAAAATATTTTAAAACTAATAAACATATACAGTAATATATTATATATACATTTTTTTACATGCTTTTTTTTGGGACAATCATTCATATAACCTATCTTTAGATTTGAGGGAAAAAGTCTGTATACTGCCAGATAAATATTTAGTCTAATATTTCTGCTGAATGGGGATTTAAACTCATTGAAAATTCCCCTCTCCCAACTTTTAAATATTTTTAATTTATTAAAGTTTTAAGTTGATTGTATCTGGTACCATTAATCATTGAACTAGTCTCAGCTAATTAAATATGTTCGAGTTTTTTGAGTCAAGTCTATATATTTGTACTATTAGTATCGTATCTCGAGGTATACAACAAAATGAGCTTGGATGGATAGGTAGTTTCGTAAAAAATATGTATGATTGTTTATATAGTTTAAAGTGTTTAAAAAGTTCATAAATTATTTTAATTTTTTTAATTTTTAGAAATTCAATTAATTACAATGAAGTTTTGGGTAGAAATTTAAAAGATACAATGTTTAACAATTCAAATTGTTAGTTGCAAATTAAAAAATTATAGATTTAAAAAAATATATTTTATTTCTACTTATAATTTATGTTAAAAAAATGTTTTCAAAAACATTAATAAATTTTATAATAATGAGTGTTCGATAAAAGGTTTGCCTTATATAACATAGGTACCCATAATCCATCACAGAGTCTGGCTACTCTATGACGAGGAACATGACAACTATTTAATACTGCAGGAGTTGGATCGTCCGGTTATTTTATGTTTGTACCTGACTATGTCTAGAATAGTATCAACAAGAGTACAAATTAATAATTATGCATAACACAACTGTGCCTAATATTTTACTTGTTGACTTTTGTCCACCTCTACGTTGCGAGACCAGTGTTGCTAAAAATATAGTTTTTATTAAAATAATCGTGCCGGTATACACGTACCTTTAAAGTGTTCAAGGCCGTCGTCACTAATCGGCAACCAATATACCTAAGTTTTAGACACTTTAGTGCAGAGTTACATGTTATAACTTAAAATCATTCGAATATCTTATCTCTGGAGCCAATTCAATTTATAAACTTATACCTACGTAAGATATAGGTAGGTATACAGAATAATTATAATAACATTTTATGATATATCATTGTACACGAAAAGCGATTCTAAACGAAAACAGTTAGCCTATATCACTTCATGATACTTATGTTTTTTCGATATAGCAATTAAAGTCGTTTATTTTGTTTTTATTCTAATGGTTAATTTATTTTTTTTTGAAAATATTGTATTTATTTTATTATTAAATTAATATTTATTATTTGTATTTTATACCGTTCCGTTATATCATATTATTGTTTATTTATTTTTGAGTTAATTATTCCTTACTGTAAAATAATGTGTTCATAAATAAATAATATTTAAAATTAATCTACATATTTTGAAATTATTTTTTCAAATTTAATAGTTAAATTCATAATACACGTTAAAGTTTTCAGTTCTAATGAATACTGTTTTTGAATTATAACAAATTAATTAACATTGTTATTTAAATATGAAATTTTGTCAAAATATCTGTGTGACTATGTAAAATAATCTTGTTTGATATTTTTTAAGTTTTTTAGTTTCAGTATTAAGTTTTTAAATCTTAGCTAAAAAATAAAAGATTTTAGTAATTTTTGAAAATTTGATAAATTTTGTAAAAAATTGATTTTAAAATGCATAAAAATAAAAAATGTCTTATTATATTTTTAATGATTTTACATAGTTACAAGAACAACTTAGTGGAATATTTTATTCAATTTTTAAGATTTTCTATCAAAGAATAAAAAAAATAGTAATAATTAACATTTATAGGAAAAAATTTAAAATGTTTCTTGCCTACAGGCTACAAATAGTTCAAAAATTACAAAATATTTTTTAAATTACGCCATATATAGAAAATTATTATAAAACATTTAAAATAGGTTTCTACAGTTATACGTTTTTGAATGACCACTAAAAAGTAAAAACAAAAATCGTTTGAGAAGAAATAGTTATTTTACGGGTAAATTTTGAATGACGTAAAATTTGAAATTTAACGTTTATAAAAATTAATATCACTTTCCAGTAATTTATCTTGTTTTATTTTTTTTTTGTTTTAGCCGTTATAGCCTATAGGTATTAGGTAAACAAACTTAAGAGGAATTTTGTACAGTAGAAGCCGCTTATAAGACTCACGGATATAAGGTCCAATCGCTTATTAGACTCAAAATCGTTTGTAATGGTCCGGACGTATCCAAATACATTAAAAAAAAATCGGTTTTAAGACTCAACACTTCGGTTATAAGACTTAAATTTCGTAAAATGAATAGTAGAAAATAAACTTTTTTGGTTATAATTTAGAAATAAATTGGTTTTGAAAAATGAAATAATATTCTTGTTGATTATTTCTAGTTTCTGTTGGTACCTTACAACTAAAGAGCGGATTTTTAGGTTCTTAAAAGCTTAAAATATGATGCTAATATGTTTTAAAAAAACCCTAAAATATTCTCTAAATATTTCTTAAACTTGTAAATATGCAGATAATATGATTTGTTTTTTTCCAAAATAATTCAATAAAAACAATAATTAACTTATGTACCATTCCTTTTTGGTAACATAATATAGAATATTTAATTATAAAAAATATAAAACAGTTCATAGGTATATGAATATTTTAAACTTTTGTTAATTTTCGGCATTTAAAAAAATAATAAACAATATAAAAGTAAAAATAAAATAGATTTATTATTAGGAATCATTCTTATTACGTTATTATAAGATCGTAAGTACAATCACGGATTAAGAGTAACAGAAAGACCTACATTAGCAATTTGATTACAAACAAGTATATAATTTAATGATTTTTAATTTTTATCATTCTTATATAAAATAATTTTTTTTCCTAGAAAAAATTGTTGTTGGAAAATATCACGAATCGATAAATTAATAATGTGTAATATGATTTTTTATGAACAATAATAGAATAATTAGAATATATTCTAAAATATGAAAAATAGGCTAAATATTCTCCTAAGTCTAAAATATGCTTTAATATGCTAAATACATTTTTTCCCACGAACTCTGTGATGGATAAATCGTCCACATTTTTCACTCTCATAAAGCTGCATAAAACTAATAAAAATATGTAAAAACCTAAAAATCCGCTCTCTACTTATAATGTATAATAATTTTTATCGCAGATAAAAGTTCACATTTATCGCAACGATAATTATAACGATTATAATTTTAGTTTTTTTTATCGGGATTATTAAATGTATTCAATAATAAAGCATGTAATATGTAATATGTGTTAATGTATTAAAATCAAAGCAAAATATGTAGTAAAATAAAATTTATAAATACGTAATTTTTTTTTTCCATTTCGCCTATAAGATTCATTCGGTTATAAGACTCACTTTGTGCTGGTCCCAAAATGAGTCTTATAAGCGGCGTCTACTGTATTACATTTTAAAATCTTGGATATATGAAAAAATTTACACGAGAGCGGAAATGATTGTTACAACGGATCACTGACCAGGTAACCAGGATATCTTCACAGAACATAGTAAATAATATAATACAAATTTAATATACGAGCATGAATATAATATCATAATATGTATCTGTGTATACGAGTAACCCATCTCTCATCTGTGGACTGTGGACTGTTTTTGTGTTGCATCGTCCGTGGCTGTACAAGAGTCCAAGTTGATGTACAAAGACCTTAGAATTTAGATCATAAACACGGGCATCGATAATAACATTTTTGATAAGGCTTGCTTGTTTATGCTTTGTCTTATCAATTATTAAACTTTGCGGCATCAGTTTTTAGACTTCTTTCATCTTTGATTTCTCACTTGTGTCAAACTGTGAAACATCATTTGCGTCACATTAGTCTACTGTTTTCAGATAATTATTATTTATTCTTCAGTGTATTTTGACTCTTCAAAATGAATGCTCCTCCAACATTCGAATCATTTTTGCTATATGACGGAGAAAAAAAGTGAGTTTTATTTTGTCGTATTTGTATTGTTGATTTCCGATCAACTTAAATTACTTTTTAAATTTTAGAATAGTCAAAGAAGTTGATACTAAAGTGACAAATGCAGCGATTTTCACAGTTAATAAAGAAGATCATACTTTGGGAAATATGATCAGGAAGTAAATACTTAATAATTATCGACTACCGTACTTACCAACTATCATCATTTTCTTTATAATATTTATTGTTTATTAATTTAGCCAACTACTTAAAGATCCTAATGTTCTTTTTGCTGGATATAAACAACCACATCCATTGGAACACAAATTTGAACTTCGCATTCAAACAACGTCTGATTATACACCTCAAGATGCTTTAACTAATTCTATTACTGATCTCTTGGCTGAACTTTCTTTGTTTGAAGAACGTTTCAAGGTATTATATTAACACAATTAATTTCATATATATATTTATATTTAAATTGTTAAACCATATAAATAGTTTTTGTGTCTAATACTTTATCATCGAACTATTTGTGGAAGAGAAATCCCTTAACAAGTACTGAAATCAAAAATTTATTATTTTTAGGCTGCACTTTATATTTTATTATTATTTGATTGAACTGGTTAAGCTTGCATGTAATGAAAAATGTCATTACACGAAATTCATCTGTAGCTTACATATTTAACATTATCAATCACAACCCACATCTCTTTTGATACTATATTCAGTATATTACAATAATTATTTCCCTACAAAATTGGTTTTAGATGTAGAAGATTTGAATAGCAGTAAAAATGCTAGGACAAATTTGTATCATAGAATTTTTTTATACAATTCAAGTTAAAAATATAAGTGGATAAAATCAGTATATTAGATTTTTTAACACATAAGTCATAAATCATAATATAAGAAAAAGGTCATATAAATTGTTATAATTTTAATTTTATAAGTTATTGACTACTTTATATATGAGTAGTGAGAACTATTGTTTACTCTCTTTATAATGTACTTAAAAGAAAGAATGTTTTTAATTTTATTTGCTATTTACTGTATTATATTTTAATTTCTAATATTATTTTTACTATGTTTTATTAATTACCAATGATAATATTATGCTGCTATATTCATTAATTGTTAACATCTTTTTTCGTAGCTTGGGATTTCACCAAAATTTTTTATTCCTAGATTCCATTAAACATATTTTATCCAATACATTGAGCAATTTTAAAATATTTTTCTTTTATTGACTCTTTATTAGCTATTTTCTTATTATCTATACTATTATATTATTATATTTTGATCATGAGTAGAATATCAGATTCTTTGTATTCAACAACATTTTAGCTGTTTAAAAAAAAAATTATTTTGCTATTGATTTAGCTTTGATAAGTATTCTATGAATATTAATAAACAGTTATCTTTATGGGCTTAGAATATGTATATTGTTCTAAAAATCTCATTCTTTAGTTGGAAATATAATGCTCCACAGGGCCCATATGTTTTTTATAATTTAAGTTTACTTCATTTACAATATTTTGATAATTTACATTACATAATTTTTTAGATATAATTTCAAATATCCAATTATCCCACCAAATATATTATTGTACATACATATTATCTAGATATTATATAATAATTACAACAATTTTGTTTTTATTTTTTTTAGGAAGCTTTAAGAGAGAAAAAAGAAGGACTTGATTAATATGATTAAGGTGATATTATAAATTTTATATTGTAAATTATTAATATTAATAAATTAATTAATATTACTATGTAAAATTAAATTTATCACTTTTGGTTGTATAATGAATTTATTTTACTCTGTACTATTGAATATTTGCTTATAAATTATATTTTATTAAAATTTAAATTCAGTAGAAATGATACTCTTCAACCACCATATAAAAAATGTGTATTTAAATAATCATTATTGTAAAATCAAACAATATAAAATTAATTTGAAGTTACAATACATTTATAATTATTATTTTATTTTGGTAGATTTAAATTCTTTTCTTTTTAATGTTTTATGCAATATATATTTTAGAATTAATAAATAATTAAATTATATTTTGTTTACCTAATGTCAGCATAATAGCATAGGTATTTATTATATCTTAAGCTATTTGTTTTTAACAATAATTCATTAATCAAGCTATTGAAGTAAAATGTTTGGTTAATGTATTAATATTATAATTTATAATATAGTTTTTTGGTTATTAATTTCTTATTATACAAACATTAAACATAAACTTTAGGTATAAGTTCAAATATATTAAATATTTATTAGATTCAATACTAAGGAATATCAAATTAATTTCTAAAAACAAGAAAAGTTAGCGGTGTAATAATATTAATATGTTTTTGTTGATATATTTTTGAAGGTATTTATTATTTACTTAAGACAGCAAACATAACTTATATAAGGACTAGAAAGTATACATTTTATTATACTAATGTTAGAGTAGAAAATTAATTTTCACTAATTTAAAATTTATTATGAAGTTTTATAAAATAAATAATAAATCAACTATAACATTTAATATTATTTAGAAATCATTCATTTTTATTCTCATTAATATATAAATTGTAATTATAATAAGAGCTTATAATTATTGAAAAATTATTATCAAATCGAATTAATCTCCAACAAGTTCAACATTATTATGACGTGTGATAACAATTTCTCTACTTTTTTAAAATTGTTTTTATGCTATTTTAAATAATTAAAGACTATTGGAATTTTAGATTATTGTAATGAATGTAATTCGAACTCCATGATTAAATTTTGTACATAAAAAACAAATTTTATTGAAGACACAAATACAATCTGTCAAATCTTATAATATATTACTAAGTTTATATTATCACTTACTTATATTACTATTGCCTATTAGTGATTATAGTAATTTACCATTAGACACTAGTTATCTGTATGACTGTATATATAAAATAAACTGACTGACTTATAATTAATATACAGCTAAAATCATTATAGTTAGAAATTTGAAATGTTTATGGTACATTCATATCATATGTAAAGAAATACTGAAAAATAATGTTGTGAATTTTTTATTTTAAATAGGTATTCACATAGAGCAGAGGTTCCCAACCCGTGGTATGCGAAGAAATTTTTTTATTACTATTTGCATTCAATATTATTTAGTTTAGTTTATTTGATATTAGCTAATTTTATAAAATTATTATTTTATCAAAATAAATTTAATGTCGATAACATGGGGTTTGTAATCGAAGCAATTTAGAATTTTAGATAATCTATTCTTATCGATAAAGCGCATTCTTACAGTTTTAAGTGTTTTAACGTTTGTGTTATTTATATTATATTGATGACCTTGTAAAAAATAAACAACAACAAATATCACATTAATTTTATTTATTTAATTTTATTATTATTTATATTTATTATTTTTTTTATTAATTTGAAAATTGTAATTTAAAATTTAAATATTTAGATTTAACTAAAAATTATGATTTTTTTACTTTCATAAATATCAAATAATAAAAATGTAAAGAATTGAATGAATAATAAAAATATACGCTAAAAAAATTTGACTCCTAATTTAATTTTAAAATTGAGGTGGTAAGCGTATTGATTATAAAAGTGTCTGATGGTACTCGATGATAAAAAGGTTGGGAACCCCTGACATAGAGATTTGTTGGTTTATTAAAATAGATAATTTTTTTTTTTTTTTTTACCTAGGGTTCCTAATACTAATAATAATAATAATAAATAATAATATTTATATTTAAATACATATTAAAAAATAGTCACTTGCTATAAACATAAAATAAAGTAGTTATTAATTATTTTGGTTGGATTAATTTTTTATCCTGTATTTTATATTTAGTCAAAACCACCCAAATCTATGTTAAGGATTTGTGTAGTTACCTAAACTAATCTAAATATTTTAAAAATATTGTTGAATACAGTAAAATATGACATAAAAATAAATAAAAACATTTTAAGTCTCCACAAATATTTTTTAATCACAAAAAAATTACTAAAATCGTTTAGTAGATTTATATTGTAATTAATTCTTTTAAATTTCATTAAAATTTGAAATTCAATAAATTATGAAAAAATTAAATATATGTGTTAGATTTCCTAATTTCAGTTTAAGAGAAATATAGATATTCAATTTTTAACCCATAATTGTAAAAATTGAATATTTTTATCTACAAAATAATTTGTAAATTTTCAAAATCGAGAAAAAATTGGAAAATTTTAAATATTTATAAATAGTTTCGTAATTGTCGAAAAAATTTTGAAAATTTTAAATTTAATATTATTATGTTTAGAAAATGATAACATAAACATTAGATGAATTAAATGTTTAAGTATCTACGGTTTTTATTTTTGAGATGCAACAAAAGTTAATTGTTATTCCATGAGCGAATAATATATAATTTTGTTAAAATTTAAACTAAGAGGTTGATTTATCAAAAATAATTTAAGAATTACGCACAATTTTTTTAAACTTTTTGACATGTATTTTAATAGATTTTTATGTCAGGTCACCTATCATCTATGTATACCTATAGGCTATAACTATAGTACATTAGCACATTGCATTATACCACTTCAATAAATAATAAACCTAATAGTTAACTACTATTCACGACTGAAAATAATATTAAAATAAATCTTAGTTTAATTAAAAATTAAAATTAAATTTGATATCTTCAATCATAAAAAATATTTAAATATGCACTACGGTTAACGGTTCGTCATCCTAATTGTCCGGCAGATGGTGCTGTTGTGGTGATTGTTTGCCGGTGGGGGTATTCTTCCGTATGTGTTGTTATTATTTGTTATTATTTTTTATAATTTTTTCGGCACTATCGGTCTGTCTCTCTCTCGTCAACGAACCGTCATGGCCTCAACCGTTTCTTATCATTGGCGGCCCCGCAGTGCAGTGTGTGTGCACGCTCGTGTGTGTGTGTGCGTGTGACAAAATATTTCGTGTTAGCGGAGAGAAAAATAAAAACGACAATAATAATAATATTATAATAACGAAAATAATACGTCTGCCGCCGAATTTACAGAGACACGTCGCACACCGCCACCGCAGTGGTCGTCCATCGTTTTATATAGACCGTACTGGGTACCTATTGGTGTTTGTTATAGAAATCCTTTTTTCCTCTCTTTCCAGTTCCCGTCTTTTGAGAAATTAGCGCTGCACGAAATATGGTGTCGTTGTCATTGTTTGCCCGCCGGTTCACCAGTCCTCGTCGTCGACATTAAACTTGTCGCCGCTGTCCGTTTGGTGTTTTTTTTATTCGCCATCAGGACTCTCCACACCCAATCACGGAATGATCATATAGCAGCTGAAGGTAAGTCGTGTCAGTGTTTCTTACCTAATAGGCCCAAATGCTCGATATTCATTCAGTCACATCTGTTTTGTATACTTAGCTTCCCCAAGTATATCTCAGTTTATCGTTTGTGCTCACTGCCATATGTTTGTCTTGATGACAAGGTCTTCTATCCAAGTTCATTGCAATTCTTACTTTTGTTCATTTTTTAATGTTGATTTCTGCTTGGATAATATAATGATCTATTACCATGTGATTAACTTTCAATAATTAATGGCTTCCGCCTTATTTAGTATAAAATTGAACATATAAATAATATATATTTTTTAATTTTTCTTTTGTACCTATTCCTTAATCTGTATTATAAAATCTATTGATTCTACCAATATTATGCTATACTTACCTAGTATAAAAGTGCACAATGTTAGTTTCAGTTGTATACATTTGCACTTCAATGCCAAGTTATAATTACTGTCAACAACTGTTATTATTTTATCGTTGCATAAACAATATAATATAGCTTACAATTTCTTTAAACTGTTACGTACACAGAGATTAAAAGAAACATGTTAAAATCAGTTTGTGGTTCTAAAATAATATTATGTAAAAAGTTGTGTAAAAACTAAAATTCCATTGCTTTATTAATTTTCATTATTATTTTACTATGTAGCAAGATGCACAATTTATTATGTTGCAAATCAACAATATTATTCATCATTGATTGATAGAACACATTATTAAAATATGTATATTGTGATATAATTACTTTGTTAAAATATTTTTTTAACATTGATTTTTTTAATGAAAAATTTTAAAACCTATTGTTTTAGGTTTTTTAAATTAAAATTGTACCTAATATTTATATGGAGAATTCAATAAGTTAATCTACATATTTAGTTAGGTACGGGGTTAGGTACCAAATTATTTATGTACATTAAAATCAAAAAACTTGAATCTCTATATAGGTACCCTGGTACCCTATTATGTTAGTTCAATTCTACCATCTCATCCATCACAAATTTTTTTAGTGAGATTTACCTAACTGTTTTATTTTTATATTATTTAATTTATTTTAATATTTTATGAAAAATTTTAATTTATGATCAAATAGAATCTTACTATAAATTAATTAAAACAATCAATAGGTATGAATGGATAATTACATAAGATTAAAGATACACTGATAAATATATAATATACTGAATTAGTATTAGATATTAGGTAAATAATATATTGCATAGAACCTGTTTCTATGTATTTATCTATGCAATATACAATTCTTTTTTTTGTGCTTAACTTAATAGTTAACATATTTATTAAAAATTAATTTTGTTTATAATTCTGTATGCAGCCCATCAAAAAATAATTTTCGTCTAAAAATATAAGAATAACTTAATAATTCATTAATTTAATATAATACTTAGGTGGGTAGGTTTTAATATCCATAGTGTAAAGTGGTAGAAAGTAACTATTAACTACTTATTTATAAATTGCAGTAACTGGAAAACAATTTAGGTATTTGTCAAAGTATTTGTTTATTTAGTTACATAACTAAAAATAATCTTTAATATACGTTGTCAATAAAATTAAAAATGAATTTATTAAAAAAAAAACACTATTAATTGTTTTATATTTTTACTCGGGTTTACAATAATATTAAACTTTTGAAACATTACTACTGTAGAAACTTATGGAACTAAACAAATAAAAATTACTTATTTTTGTGAAACAAATAATTTCTTGTTCTCAGAATAATATGTTATAGGTACTTGGATATACTAGTTTCATTTTTTTTTTTTACTTATAAGAATTAATTCACATAACTTAATATTTTTAATAACTAGTAAGAATAAATGATTGTTAAATTACTATTTAGATTAATATAATAGTTGAATAACACACATTGTATATATTTGTTGATAGGTGAATTTGAGAATATTTAACTCCATACCTCAATAAAGGTTTTAATAAAATACAAATTTTAACTTTGATATTTTAATAGGTACCTTTTATAATCCCATAAAATATTTAAAGTAAAATATTTGTTCGAGTTATGATTAATTAGCTTTAACATGTGTATCTTTAGCTGATAGCCTTGCGCCTTGTGCATAAAAATAAAATAAAATATTAGTAATATAACGATGGTTGCCCAATAAATTGAAGAAGCATACATATAAGATATAACTATTTTAACTACATTATACGTTGTATTTAAATAAAACGATTGCTCGTTAAACATTTTATAGTTTACCCCGCAGAAAAATAAAATGATCGACTGTCTTTTAAAACAGCTGATGCATATTGCATCGTGGCGTGCCAACGATTTTAATAAATATATTTTATAGTAACATAATAAAAAATAACATTGTCGTTCGACGCGTGTCTTTAAGTTGAGCTTTTAATTGAAACGAAAAAAAATATGTTTAATCCAAAACTCTTACTCTGGGAACCATATGTTCGTCAAGCGCTTCTGAGTTCGAGATATATGCAGCTCCCTGCGAGATCGTGTAATGCTCGTGACAGACAGACGAAAACTTTTCGTTTTTATATTATTATAATTAGATAGTGAATAAAATGTGTTATATATTATCGTCAACTATTTATCGAGTTTATTGGGATTAGAAATTGATTGATTTATTGTTTACAATATTAATTAGTAGGTACCTAATTATAAACTGTATAGACGTAAAGTGCTTGTTTACATTTTCTTCATCGTGATATTTTCGTTAGAAAACAAATTATTTGACGAATGACACCACTGAGGTACTATATTTGTGTTCAAATTTCAGTCTAGAAATTTAAAATTTTTCTTAAAGGCATTAACTTTCACAATGTTAGTGTTTTTTAAAATATTACAAATAATTCTTTTTTAACATTCGAAGATTGTTTGTAGTTTTTCATCATGCCAGTTAAAACTTAAAAATACCTATAATCGGTTAATTTATACAGTACGATCGCACCCCTTGCTTGAAAAGATTATCGCTCTTTTTTATATTATTACTTGTTAGTAATATAAAAAAAATATAGTTAAAATTATTGATGTTCTTCAAAAAATTGTAGTATCCTTTATAAAAATTTCAAAAGTTAATTTTGTTGATTTTTTTTTTGTGATTAGTTATTACGTTTTTATACATTAAATGTAATTTTAACAATAGAAAAATTAATTAACCTCTATTTTTAGTAAGCATATTAAGTTTGATGGTCAATATTTTATTATTCCATCATATCCAAGTTAAATACATATTAGTTGTTTTTTAAATAAAATCGTTTTTTTTTAAATGTACTGAGGCTAACATGGTTATTTACACTTATTAAAATTTTATATTTTTTGTTCAATATCCAATGTAAAAAATAGTAGTAATTTTTTCAAGAATATTACATTAAAAAAAATAATTTTAATAATCACGGATATCTAACAAACCGCAATCGTTTCTTTGAGTGCAACACTCACAGAATTTATTTTCTACGGATGCTATTGCATCTAAACTATTCTAAACTATAGCTTTTCGATTTATACTACTTAAAACATGCGTAATCCTTCTATTCGGAAAAAATCATAAATAAATTTATCATACAACCATTGCAATCCATACGTTTCCGCTCGTCAAACTGTATCTAAAAACAATATTGCTGTGGTATATTATCCTATATATTATATTTTTCCGTTCAAACTTGCTATATTTTCTGATGGTGCTTCATATAATAACAAAAATATTAAAAATTGTATTAATCCATCATATTATTATATACTATTATTTTTCGCTATTAGATTTCCGTTTTTAAGCATTTTACACCTTTTTTAAAGAGTTTTAAAATTAGACATATTGTTGACTTCACTATTTATTAACAAAAAAATTGACAAAAAAACACGTCATTGTACAATCGTACTGTTAAATTATATATTATTATAGTGTTTCCTCGATCCTGTTAGAAATACTTTATCATGTCATGTTTTCCTTATTTACTACTGTTAATTTTTAGTACTTTAAATTTGCTTGAGTTCTACATATATTAAATATATTGAAAAAAGTACATGTACCTATGTTATGTAATACGTACACAATTAGTCGAAAAAAAAGATTATGCAATATAAAATGCATAATACATAATATTTTATACTCTATAGTATAATTATAATATATACTTTTAGTTGGTAAAATGTACCCGGTGTATTTACTTGCTAAAATTGAAAAAATAAAATAACTAAAAGGGTCACGAATTTTTAATTTTTTAATCAAGATTTGGATTTCAATAGTTTTCAATGAACATTTTTCTTGTGTAATATTTTACAACATTTTAAATAACTTAAATTAAATGTGCTTATACTTTATTTATGAATTAAATAATGTAAAATTTAAATAATTATTTTGTTTTTCAATTATAAATTATTCATTTATAATTTGATTAGTATTTATTGTTCACTACATCAAGTAAATTTATTTTAAAAGTAAAAAATGTAGGAAATCACTAATTAATATCTTATTTTTGATTTTTTTTTGTTGATAGCATATTGTTTTATAACAAATATAAATTGTTTAATAACTTTGAAACCTAGTGAATAAACAAAATAAAAGTTTACGTAAGATTTAATTAATAGCTACTTGAATATTTAAGTAAAATTAACAAAATGTTAATACATGTTATGAAAACCGTAAATTAAAAATTGCGTGTTTGATGATTTCTAGAAAAATAATTTCAATTGATACTTACCAAAATACTGTAGCAGCAAATAACTCATTAAGTAATGATCGAAATTAATTTGTAAACTATACACATCCACGTTAAAAACATTTCCCAAATTAATTAATCAACGTTATAGATAGGTATTTTCTAGTTATAATTAGTTTGTAAAATATGTAATTAAACTTTAATAGACTTCTTGAAAAATCAATATTTTTTCCTTTTTGTAAAGACTCAGTTGATTTTCTCTGCTCTAATACAGTTATAACTTATAAGTATGTTATAATATGTGTATATAGTGGGTATATTATACTATACTAATGAAGCCAACTAACATTTACAAAACACGTATCGTATAATGACGGTATTACCTATTATGTTTATACTTTATACGTTATAGAAAATGAGCTTTATCTAAATTTCTAAATGTAGTTGTATTTGTATATATTTGGCAGTTGTTTCAACAAAAAAATTATGATCATGTTTGGATAATAATATTGGTTAGTGTATAATATTATATAATAATAATATTATAGTGTGTACCTATAACTAGACGTTAGAGATAATGTAGTTACTTATAGTACCTTATAGTATCAATGCGCGACCGCCATCATATTACGCAACACTTCTTTTTATAAAAATGCTGCAATAATCATTACATTATTGTTTTTTTTTTTTAATTTAATAGTAATAATAAAAAAAAATATTAACAGTTCATTTTGAGGATGGCCGATGACTTTATCAAATAATTGCGTGTACCACATAATTATATGATAATCATAAGTTTTTTTATTGGTATTCGTTAACTAACATTATTAATTGTATGTAAGTTAACTTGTGTATATAAATGTTTGTAATTATATATGATAGGTTCTGTCAGTGTTTTTCGGTTGTTTTTATCATGAATTATTGCGAATTGGTTAAGGTTTAGGTTTTATTGTATAAAATAGCATTTTTAGTACCTATGAATGTAATACAATTTAACGTATATCATTTCATACTGAATTGCAATGCATTTATTAATTATTTACATTTTTCATGTATAATAATTCAGATCGAGATTTAAATAAAAAAAATTATTAATGAATATTTTAAAAGAGTTATAAGTGAAATATTTTTAACTTATAAATAATTCTACCTACTAACTATATTACATGTGTACAAAAAAAGATGAGAATATATTTGTTCTTTGTGATTTTTCTAGGTCTTGTCAATATAATATTTCATTTGCATGTGGTGTTCAGATTACTTGTATATCATAATATGTGTTCAAGAAATGATATTACGAGTAACTGAATTTTTTTATAAATATAAATAATTTTTGAAACATTTTTAAAACTCGAAAATTAAAATATATTGTCATTAATATATATATATATATATATATATAGGTACTATATGGTTTAAAATATAATTTGTTGACGTATAAATGCTATGTTATATTATATATTAATATTTAGTACCCTATATCATTAATGTACCTACTTTACCTTAACAAAAATACACGTTTTTAAAAAAAAAAAAAAAAACCAAACAAAGACTGTAATTGAAAAATTGTTGGAAATTTGAAATAACTCACACCATACAGAACTATATAATACGTTATAATATGCAGTTATTATATTCTTCGCAAAACATATTTTATACACATCTGAATTTTAAAATTTTATTCACGCTAGCAATTATTTAGTCACAGTTGGCCGTAAACATTTACATTCATACTGTTTGCTTAACTGTGAATATAGGCGTATGATCTGGTTTATTTAACAGATGAAAACACATAGGTAGTGTATTAAATTCCGTGTATGCACATATTATAATAAACTTTTGCTAAATATTTATTAAAATATTGAAGTAGGTTGGTAAATGATGAGTAGGTATGCTTATTTATAATTAATTATGTGTATAACACCAGGCATGTATATAGTTTAGGGTAGTATAGTTAGTTAATTTTTGAAATACATAATATGTTACAAAACAGTTTAGTATATAATGAAATAATATATTTTTAATTTATATTCGATATTCGTAATTATTTTATATACATTTAATCATACACTTTTATTGATATTTTGAACATTAGTTTAGTTAGTTATTTTCATTAATCTTGATTTATTTAAATTCATTAAATAATAAAACTAAATATGTGTTTATTAACTAATATTATATTTTCTTATTAATTAATAATAATAATAATTTTGATTTGTCATTAAATTTGTATACTGAGAGTTCGAAGGGTTATGTTATTATGTTTATTGATTATTCCATAGAAACGGAAACGTAGACAATTTATTGAAAATATTTTCGTTGTTATAACCAATGCGCCTATTGCTAAAACAAAGTATAACATAAAATATAGTATATACCATTTAAACTATAATAACTATTAAAAAATTATGCATATAATAAAGAGAATTGTATAATTTTGTAATACAATATTTACAAAATGTTTATATGTAAGAATGTCTTAAAAAAATTAACAATGATAGTTAAGCCATATGTACGTAAAGGAGAATATTAAATTAAATCTTAATGTATAGTTAATTAAAAAGAATATATACATATATTGTCGTAACTTGATTTTGTATTGAAAAAAATTAAATTTAAAACTGAAGATAACATTATTTTATTGTTTGATAAAATTATAAACAAATTATTATAAAAATGTATAACACATTTAGAAATTATAGCTTGTAGTTATAGTAAGGTATTATAAATATTTATAATAAATGGTATAGAATATCAATGATCATATTTTTCCAAGCAGACTTGTCACGTCTATATTAATTTCTAGAGTACTAAGAATACTCGTATAGTTTAGTTTATTTTCCAAAATAATATTTGCATAAATATGTTCGAATATTAATCTATCCTAACACAAATTACATTTAATTTTATTGCATCACAATATAATTCAGATATTCAGTATTACCTAAATATATATTATAAGTTGTATATATAATTATGTAGGCACTATATTTCATTAAGTTTATTTGGTTGTTTAATATCATGTTTAATTTTTTTTTTTTTTAGCAGCTTATGTAGATTTTTTGAAGAGTTATGTTAAACAGTTTGAGAGATGGTCAAATAAATTATGGAACTACTAATTGCCAGTCTGCCCATGTTCCACCTCATAATGTCGTCGCTCCAATACATCAAAATTCTCTTATATCGACCGAATCCACTACACCTGTCTATCAGTGGAATGCAAACCATCGGCTTGAACATTTATATGGCTTTCATTCCAGATATTATAATCTCGACTTTCCTACTCCATACCCGCCAGCTACTAATCAATATGTACCTGCAAATGTGTACGGACAGAGTTTGCCGCAATGCTGTCAACCGTGTTGTCGGCTCAGGACTCAAAACATACCAAAAGTATCCCCACCACAAGTGTTATATAACACAAGACCAGTGCAACAATTGAATCGATCTTATAAATCAAAAAAGACTTTAAAAACTCCGTGCTCCGAACAGTTCCTACCATACATTCCAAATGATTTACCAGTTAAATACGATACACAAAATTGCTATCAACAAAAATATAATAGTTCATATTTAAACAATACAAATTATTGCCCTCCAGCTAATAACTTGTGGATTCCGCCCGCAGCCAATCCTAACTGGTCTACTGACAAACTACGACCGATCAGTCGGCATACTAGCATGGTGTCGCATGATTTCAGTAGGGAAAAAAATTATCAAAGATTACCAAACTATCAAACTAACCCTTATTTAAAACCTACAAGTGCTACACATCATTTACCTTATAATTACATTCCACCTATACCTGATGTACACGACTATCGACCTCCTATCTATCATAATCCATTAAAAAACAACACGACTGAGTATGTATCGCACGATCATAGTTCTAGATTGCCTATTTCATCTCAAAATATTCAAAATATGTCTTCATTACAACAGTACTATAACACTCAACCAGTGCCTTATTCAGATATACAAATACCAAATAGTGAATCATTTAAACCATCTCAAATTGCGCCAAAAAATAACTCGAAGAGTAATTTAAACGTGCGTGAGTTTTTGGCTACATGGGACGAAGGAGAAGAAGAAATTGGCGAAAAATCTTCTGAAACAACAGAGCCCATAGTGGTACTCGATTGTATGACACTTGATGGAGATGCATTGACTAAAATTCAAGAAAAACTAAATGTTGTGTCTTACGAAAATTTAGAAAAAGTACTTAAAGAAAATCAAAACCCATTAGTTATAACTACAGAACCAAATGATATTAATTCTTTTAACAATAAGCCCAAATTACCATTGAAATCTAATTTTGAACCCCTAGATTACACCAAACGGGAAACTGGTATCATCAAACCATTTATTAATGAGAATAAAACATCATCTGAATCAAATATCCAGCCTGAAAAAAGTTATAGCGTTAATTTTGATGGAATGGTTGCTTGGTACGGTAAAAAAAATACAAACATTTCATCTACAGATCTCATTGAAAGATTAGCTGACAGGATTTTTAACCTAAGTAAATCGCAAGAAAATGAGGGCGTATCGTTTGGAACAGCAGCTTATACAGGACAAATAACTCAAACTAATCGATCCATCGAGAGTTCTGATAAAAATACGCCAAAATATGTTCAAGGTCCACAAATGTTTGATTTACAGCACCATGTAGACAAATGTATTGAACCTCCTATGATAAATAAAATCAGTTCTAATAAGGAAACAATTCCTAGAGTTAATTCTTTTGTTTTAAATGAAAGTAACAAATCATCAAATATTAAATCAAATAACGCAAGCTCCTCGTGTATTGTGGAAAATATAACAAAAAGGTGTTTAAATGTTGCTACTGAAGATACTACACCATGGAATTTAGACCATGGTGTCCAAGAACAACATTTAAACACGTCTTTGTATGACCATAGTGTTATTATGAAACCTCTTGATTTTTCTTCGCTTACCGATGAAACTAAAGGCAATCCTTTTATGTTTGAAAAAATTACGTCAAATGATATCAAACCAAATGACGGCATCAATAATCAATGCAATAAAGTATTTAATGAAAACAATAATTATAACTCTACAGTTTCTAATAACCAACATTCAATACAACAAATAGATACGGGTAATAGGAATTTTCCAGTTATAGTCTCGCCACATAGACAAGAATACAATGGATTTCATGAAAGCGTCATACAGAGGACTGGCTGCGATAAAAATAAACACGATAAAGTATCAACACAAACTGATTTTGAAAGCATAAATTGGAACTTATCAAATGATCTCGATAAAATTATGAAAAACACAAATATAGTTATGGAACCGTCTTGTTTACATGACAGAAATAATTATAATATTTTAGATGGTACGAACTCGGACAAAAATGTTTCTACTCGGTGGAAGGATAATGTGCCGTGTGTGGACTTAGAAAATTGTAAAACCAATCCTCATCATGATTCCTTTTTTGATGGCTGGAGTTTTATTGAAAGCTATGAAAATCATACTAGTAAAAAAATAATGAATACGCCTTCTAATGATAATTCTCACCACTCGTTGTTTCCGAACCAAATGAATTCTTTGGAAGAATCGACAAAAAATAGTAATTCTAGTGAAAATACCGATAATACATTGGTTTCAGTAAAAGATATGCCAACATTTTCAAAATCCAATGATTTATCACCTTCTAACCGACAATCACGAGATATTTTTAATTTGAATAATCGCATACCTGATTTCAGCGATGGGTTTGAATTACCAGTAATAAATGAACCACACGAGTATTTACAATTTAAAAAGGATGATATCGAACATCGGGCGGATGGTTCGATTTTTGAACATCTAAATGAACCTAAATGTATTACAACTCTAAATGATACATTAAATTATAAGAATGATCAGAATAAACTCGATTTTATTGGTCTCCCAAGTTTTAAAGAAAAAGAGCCATTAGCACCTGTATCTGCGCCTTCAAAACTTAATATTGTTAAACCTACTCTACGAGATCCTAGTCAAATGTATACAGTTATAAAACAGAAATTAAAATATGATAATCCATGTGTCAACAATGATAATGTAGTAAATAATAAAACTGAAAACAATTTAAAAGAACATCTAACGAACTCATTTAACGTAACGGATTTAAAATCTAAATATAATAGTGTGCAATTAAATCAATTTGATGTGTGGTCTGAAAAGTTTGTATTAAAAGGAAATTCAAATAGTTCATCTTGCGCAGTTGTTCAGTGTGATGTAGAAATTACACAATTCAAAAGTACTCCGGAAAATCGCAATTCTTTATCGAAATCAAATATGAGTGAAAATTATCAAGACAAAACTCTGATATTGCCAGAAAATACCAATTGTAACTTAGCCGCTGATAAAATTAATATTATCGAGCATGATAAAATTAACTCGAATGATTTTCTCAACTGTTTAGAAAGTACAAAATCAGATGACCAAAAATATCGAGATACTTTTGATGAATTTGAAACATCGTTCGGGTTTGACATACATTGTAATACCGAATCTAATAAATCTTTCCATGAAGATATTGTTGATAAGTGTTTTGAAGAAAGAATTAAAGATCAAATTGGAGATCGAAATTTAAATACAACTGACTCGATTACTACTTCCAACAGTAATACAACATCATCAAATAATACTCCGTTATCTTTTCAGTGTGATTTTCAGTCAAGTTATTTGATTAAAAATTATTTTGATGAAAATAAAAATAAAACAGTCGTTTTAAATCAAAAACAAACCAATGACCATGATAAACCAGATACAACTGTTTTTAAATATCATAATCAAAATTTACAAGAATTTGAGTTGCAAAATAATGAAAATATTCATTCAGTTATAAATTCTGAAAAAAACTCAAATTTCAACGTAAATAGCGATGTTGAAAAAATCCAAAATTCCAATGAAAATAATAATTCAAATTTTTTAAATAAAGTCGAGTCCTTTGAGAATAAACATGAAAATACAAATAATATTCGTAAAACATCAAGTATAAAAAAAAATAATTTTGATTATTTAAATGAAGAAGATCGTAATTTAAAGTTTGATAATAATAAAAAAAGTATTTTTGAATCTAAAATTTCTAAAGAAGTTGAAATTCATGGTTCTATTGAAGCTAACATTACTAGCCAAATAAAACAGAATGATTTGAGTACTCGTAAATCATTTCATATTCGAAAAAATTCAAATGTTGATTTCGAATTTAATAATATGGATGCAAATATTTTTGAATCAAATCCAAAATCTACAAGTATTGTGAGTCCGATTGGAGCTAATAAAATTAATAAATTAGATAGTCACATGAATAGTTTTAAGTCAAAATATAATTCTGATAATATAGAAAAAAATGAGCGCCATATTAATAAAAAAAACATTTTTGAATTGGATAATAATAATATTGCTACGCATAATTTAGAAAAAATTGATGAATTCGATTTTAATACAAGAATTATTCAAAATTTAGAAATTGAATGCTCTTCTGTTTATATTAATAAACCAACTAGCTCAAATGAAATATTTACTAATAAAAGTCAAATATTAACTAATGGTGAATTTGAAATAAACGATGTTAAAAACAAGGTAAAATTAAAAACAAATTACAAAAACACTCCGAGTATTCAAGAAAAACTACCAATTGAAGAAACATCAGATTTAAATTGTAATGATGATACTCAATGTCAAAATGTAATTGAAACAGAAAATATTAATCGTAAAAATAAAGTGGACCGTATTTTTGAAATTGGCTGCATTGTAAATAATTTCCAAGACAAAATAAACCTTGAAAACCCTAAAACACATACCGATTCTAGTATTCAAAATCAAAAATTAGAAAAGTGTAATTTAAAGAATTGTAATACTAGCGAAAATTCTAAAAGAAGTAATAATTCGGAAGTTGAGAATATTTTTGAAAATATATGTGATAATTTATCGACTTTGAATTCAGTAAAAAATGATGCTAATATTTTGGAAAATTTCTGTCAAGATGATACAAAATGTGGTGATGCTTCTAAATGTCTAGAAATAACTAAAAATCTAAGTTTAAAAAATAAAAACTCGAACGATGTTGTTGAAATTTACGATGAACCAAATATAGACGTGTTCCATGATGCATCTGATGAAACTAACCACGTCTTACTACAAGAATTTGTAAATAATTCAGCTGATCGTTTGACGACTGTTTCGATGCCACACAATGAATCAATAAATTATGTTAAAAACAAACCAAAGCTTTTAGAATATAATACAAATGAAAACCTAGCTATGTCTGTAGAACAATTTAGCAAATGCATTCAAGAAGGTGAAATAGAGTCTATTAATGAAACAAATAGGCAACCTATGAAAAACTTGACAGTCAATATAGCAAAGAGTGATGTTACATTAGCAATAACTGAACATTTTAAATCTGATTTAAAGAATGCTAACGAAAAAGATTATGCCTCTGATTTAACATTAAGACAAAATTCCAATGAAATGCACGACGTTGATGATTATAATAATTCTGGACCTTCTTTAATAAGTCGTGTTGAAATGACCCACCATCAAAATTCAAATCGAATAATTGAAATTAAAGATATTATGAATTATGAACCGAGTTTAAACCACAGCGAATCAATATCCCAACAACGTTCAGTGGAAATTGTTGAGGCCGTTGATTTAACTAGTGTTGGATCTAGTTCATTGAACCACAACGAACTAATGACTCAACAACCGATTGAGACATCGACAAATTCAACAAGCCCTAAACTTAATTCAGTAAACTATGATGAATCAAAACCACAACAGAATTCAAATGAAATTGTTGAGATTAAAGATTCAATTAATAATAGATTTGGTTCATTAAGTCATACTCAATTAATAAGCAAACAAAATTCAAATACAATCGACGAAGTTGACGATTCAATTAATTGTGAGTATAGTTTAGTAAGGCATAACGAATTAAAATGCCAACAATATTCTGACAAACTGACCGCGGTCGAAGTGTCAAATAGTTCATTAAAATATGATAAATTACAATGCCACCAAAATTTAAATGATATTAAAGAAATTGAAAGTTCATTTAGTTCGGGGTCTAGTTCAATAAATAAAGATGAATTAGAATTACAACAGAATTCGAATAAAATTTATGATTCCGAAGATCTGACTATATCTCGGCCCAGTTTAATAAATCAAGATGATTTAAAATACTATCAAAACTTAAATGAATTTAATAAAAATGAAGATTCAATTAGTTCTGGGTTTAATTTGATAAATAAAGATGAATTAGAATTACAAAATAATTTAAACACAACTTCCGAGCCTAAACATTTGATTATATCCAGACCTAGTTCAATAAATCAAGATGATTTAAAACACCATCAAAATTTAAATGAATTTAATGAGAATGAAGAGTCAATTAGTTCTGGGCTTAGTTTGATAAATCAAGATGAATTAGAATTACAAAATAATTTAAACACAACTTCCGAGTCCAAAGATTTGATTATATCTAGACCTAGTTCAATAAATCAAGATGAATTAAAATACTATCTAAATTTAAATGAAATTAATGAGAATGAAAATTCATCTAGTTCTGGGTCTAGCTCAATAAATCAAAATGAATTAGAATATCAACGAAATTCAATTGAAATGTACGAGGCTGAAGATTTGACTAGATCTAGACCTAGTTCAATAAATCAAGATGATTTAAAATACTATCAAAATTTAAATGAAATCAATGATAATGAAGATTCAATTAGTTCTAGGCTTAGTTTGATAAATGAAGATGAATTAAAAAAGAATTCAAGTAAAATTTACAAGCCCAACGATTTGATTAGTTCTGTATCTTATTCAATAAATCAAGATAAATTAGAATGTCAACAGAATTTAAACGAAGCTGACAACGTTAAAGATTTGAGTACATCAATGTATAGTTCATTAAATCAAGAATTAGAAATTCAACAGAATTCAAATGTAATTTATGATAACGAAAGTTTGATTAGATCTAGACGTAGTTCATTAAATCAAGACGAATTAGAATTTCAATATAATTCAAATGAAACTGACAAGGCTGTAGATTTGACCATATCAAGACCTAGTTTATTAAATCACGTAGAATATGAAAGTCAACACAATTTGAATAAAATTGTTAAAGATAAAGATTTAATTGATTCTGATGGAAGTTCACTGAAACACGATAAAGTGATATGCCAAGAAATGTTTGTAGAACCATTTAGTTCTAAAAATTCGATAGTATTTGAACCCAATATTCATGAAACAAATGTTGACACGTGTGTGGATTCAAAAAGCATTATCGATGACGTTAAATTACCAAAAGTTAAATTCATATGGAAATGTCATAATAGAAATATGATAAAAACAAATATATTTGATGAAGAGCCGGTTGTACCTTGTAAAAAATTGAAATTAGTAAAAGATGAAAAACTTATGACTCATCATATTTTCAATAAACGAAACACATGCTACAAACAGTCCACATCGTGGCGAAATATGTATAAACAAGAATTGAACTTCGAATCGAATGATAGTAATCGAAAAGAGAGGATCGAAAACACGGATATCCCACCAACTACTATTCATCCGGAAAATATTGTACAAATTGTCCAAACTCCAAATGAAGGAGAAAAATACAACAATAAATTTGTGTCGTTGCTGGATCGAATGTACGACCATGACGAAGAACGAAATGATGAAGTCTTAAATAATATCTCCGTTGGGGTCAGAGGTGATGTGATTGATGTTGATGAATTTAACGAATCTCTCAACACGCCAATCCCATCACCATTTGACGACTTTCAATCAGAAAACCCAACGCCAGAACACTGCAGCGGCGAAGTGTATTGGGACAAGTCACTGGAAGACGAGTACAAAAGTGTACTGCAAAAAACAATTTCAAAACTCGCAAAAGTTCGAATTAATGTCAGGGATAAATTCAATAGCCGGTTACTTGCTCGTAAGGTGATTGAAACGAAATGGAGAAAACGAGAATGGCGACAGCAACGGCTATTAATGGCTAACAAGACAGCGGTAGTAATCGTTGGCCATGTCGAAAACCCTGTCAAGCCCGTTGTTGCGGCAGTTGAAGTATCGACAAGCCCGATATACAAGATCAAGGTTCAGTTGCCCTGGGGTCGAATATTTAACATGAACGGACCAAAAGGAAGTCGGAATAAGACCAAGGATACAAAAATCGAGCTGGGCCCTGCTAAAGTAGAAGTGAAACTAAGCCGAACACCGAGTGAATGGCAGGTGGCAGCTTGTCAGCCGATGACTTCTCCCAAATCGGTAGTGATTGTCAGGCGGTTAGTGCTGCAGAGAGCAACTAGTCCTACCACAAACGATTGCGATGTCGATGACCACTACCATAATAATCATCACGATGATGAAGGTCATGGTACAAACGATAGTCGTTTGCATGAACTCTCCAGAAAATTACCTAAAATTGTTATCCGAAGAAACGGTCAGGACAATAGTTATACCAGTTATGTGAGTAGTAGTGGATTCGAGAGTGGTAATGTTGACGAAGACGGCGGTAACAGCAACAAAAACAATAGCAATAGCGGCATTCCTCAGTTGATGGTCCGGTTGGTGCGAGACCGTAAGTTGGATGCAATGGCCGTTGAGGGAGTTACTACTCTACACCTTAAACATCTTGTTCCTACTCGTATATCCGAATCTGAATTGGAAGCATCAATGGAGATGGACATGCACTGTGCCAAAAGGGCTCGATACTCGTAGATTGCAGTTAATACCACTATAACTATTACTACTATCATCAGTGTACACTTCCTTCAGTTACCACCACTGATTAACAGGTGAGTTTTGAATTTTTGATATAGTCATGATAATTTCCCTGTGCTATTCGCCATATGACTATAATTATCAACATTTTTTTTTGCAGGAAGAGTTTATAAAAAACATGCACTTTTTTATTTAAACTGGAAGGATTTGAATATTATGTTACCAATTATAATTATAACCTTGAAATCTTTATCACGATTTTTCTCTTCAATTGTTGTTTTCAATTTAAATTTTATATTTTTATGTTTTTGGTTTTCGATTTTATGATGTTGTTTCATCAATAACCTACATTGTAATTAGAAAAAAATGGATGATCCTATTGTAGTTATCATATTATATTTTTATTTATTTTTTGTTGATTTTTAATATTTTATTTAAAATAGGTATAATTTTTCGTTGGTGATCATAAAGTTTTATTGTTATTTGTGTGAGGTTGTAGTTTCGTTGTTTTATTTTAATTTAAATTGTTGATTTTTTTTATTTTTGACTGTCTGAAAAAAAAAAATTGTAAAGAACCAAAGATTAAAACATTGTTAGTCTAATTCGTATTTTAATAGAAACAATTGACTGTAAATTATAATCTGTTTATTTTAAACTAGAATCATTTTATAATTTGTTAAAAATTTGTATTTTAATCACTGCGATAGAGATAATTTGACCCTCCTTACACTTAACATCATTATATCTTATTTCTTGTTGTATTTTTAGAACAATATATACCTAATGTAGGTCCAACAGTAATCAAAACTAATATTTAGCGTGCTATATTTTATCATTAAAGTTTTTATCTATCCATTTTGCTATTATTCAAATTTTAATTGTCTCTAAATTCAATAAGATTTTTTTTTTAAATAACAATTTTTTCGCCATGATTTTTCTATCTTTAATCGGTGATTATGAGTGAAACGTTTGCTATTCAATAATAATTAAAATAAACCATTAAGTCAAGTATTGTTTTATGCACACAATTTTTGTATTATTTATAACATATAATTAATAATTAGTAAAAGTATAATAATATGAAAATATTTATTGAAATGAATTGTTTGCTTTAAAGCAATGCTTAATGGTAATTAAGAACGATTAAATTTACAAATTGTTTAATTCGTTTCGTCCGTGGCTACTAATAACTTTCGTTCGGCCTCTAAACAGTAATTTAGACCTAAAAATATTTCTCAATCACCGATATTACCCAAGTCTGTTTACTGCTAATTATTTTAGTGTGTTCCTAGTCAGTATTTTGTTTTGTATTTAAATAACAAAAAAAAAAAAAAATAAAATAAATATATTAATCTTTTTTTATTTAATCTTTCTTCCGTAATAGTTAAAGTTAATCACCAATTTAAACACTATATTATCACAAAACATTACTAAAAATGTTCCCAAATTATTTCAATTTTAATTTAACTGACTGTGATTTAATGAGCTAAATCCCAAAGGTATTTTTGACGAAACATAATTATAATATTTCTAATTTATAAAATAACTTATTTCGAGCTTTAAATTTTTGAAAATCATTAATATTCTAAATTATTGCAACGTGATTTTGATTATAATAAACATCATTTCCTTAGTATTGTTAACGGTTTGGTGGTTTATTTTAAATAGTCAAAGGACACTAAGGGTTAAATTTTAGTAAACACAATTAATATTTTTAAATTAAATATCTATTCAATAACTTTTCTAACATTTATATTGAACTGAACATTTTTATTGATTTGAAATTTAAAAACCTAGTCAAGTACATTTTAAAAATTTGTTTGCTTAAAGTGAAGAGAAAAATATTAAAAAAATTTAAATTTTATTTGTTTGATTCGATTTTTAATGCGTGTATAAGATTGTTTTGTTAAACTAAATTCAAAACTATCAAAAATATTGTACAATATTATTCATTATATTCTATTTCTAATTTCGTCTATTCGACACTGCATATTCGTGTGATATAAAAATCTCTAATAAATTGTTAGGTAAACAATTGACTATGTTTGTCTATTTGGTGTATTTGCTACTAAATATTATTATTTTATAAACACGCCTTTATCAGAATTACTTTATTTTTTGAATTTATCTACACGTTGATACATAAAATATATTATATACTTATTTTTAAATAATAACGGACCAAATATATTGTATTCACTTAGATTTTAAGGAATTTTAATTGTAAAATTTTTAAATTGATAACAAATTATCTCAATCACAATTTATTGTTAAGTTACGTACCTACTTAGTTTAAGAGTTTGAATTAAAGTCGGCGAAAAAAATAATTCAACCGTAGGTGTTAATTAAAGCAGGTCAACTATTATATTATTTTTAAGACTGATCACATTAAAATTATATTATATTATATAAACTCATCGAGATCTCAGAAATAATGAATTGTATAAAAATATGGAAGTAAAAATAAATGAAATATATAATATTATAGGTATATGGATATTTTAATGTTATAAATATAACTAAACCAACTGTTTGATGAAAGCGTAGCGCAAAAACTGTATCTTGAAACGACAACCTCGGAATTTATCATTTTAAATTAATCGTTTTGTGTATGCCAACATTTTTTCTTATAGACATATTATTTTTTGTCTGGCTAGTTTGCTTTGTTCATTGAATTTTCATTTGGTCCTAGCCGAAAATTGGTATACTTCTTATTTTATATAAAGTATAATTAATAGACTTCATCGTTTATATAAAAAAAAAAATCAATAAAAAACCGGGCTTTGGTAAATAATAAACTCGTGCCTCTTTATTTTTACACCAACATGGCTATATCATAGTATAATATGTTATCTGTATTATACTCGTGCTTATATTATTCGATGGGTCTGCGAACCGTATTTGATCGCGTCAGGACCGTCAGGTAATTAAAAAAGCGCGACTCCTGTACTAATAATTATAACTTAGAACATGGAACGTCATTAAGTCATCGTTATGTATGGATAATTCTGATTGTAAGCGTTTAAAAAAATATTAATAGCAATATAATTGCTAGCGATATAGTATTATGCGATTATGATTTCAACACCGGTTCGTTTTCACCGATTTATATACTATACCGCGTGAGATAGCATTTAAACGCATATAAAACATGTGGTTTAGTTATATGCATTTTGCATATACAATATTGAATATACATATTATCTGTTTTATATCGTCGTAATCGTATTATTATAATTATTCGTAGGTACGGGCTTGGATTTTATATTATATAAACACCTCATTATAATGTCATTGTATTTATTTATTTTTTTTTTAAATATATTTATGTAAAATGCATTATTGTATTGCTTAGTATTTTACACGAAGAGATTTTATATATATATATATATATGTATAACTATCGTACTTTAAAGGAAAAAACAAAATTCACAAAAAACAACCCACTAAAATATTATATTGTTTTTTTTATTTTTCAATTTTCAATTTTGAGTTGTTTTTATATAATATTATATTATTATATAATTGTTTATCGATTTTGGTGTTTTTTAAATCACAGATGAGTAGCTTACACTGTTATTTAGTTTTGGTACCTACCTATATATTATTATGTTTTTTTTTGTTAGTATTTATATGAATACACTATTGTTTTGATTTGCAAAGTGTTGTGAAATATACAGGGTATGTGTATAATTTGTTCTGTGTAATTTTTTTGTTTTCCTTGTTTATTAACGGTTTTTCTATGTTGAATAAAAATCGTTCCTACCTTTGGAACAGGCACATAGAATACACGCAGTCGCGTTGTGTAACGATGGTTAATACCTAATGTGGTTTGCGACAAAATAAAATGTACGCGTTCGTAAACACCGCGTGACATTGTCTCTGTTGCTGCACCGAAGAGTCAACCAGGTGGTAGGTATAATGCCGGACACCTCTATCGTATAATAAACGAAATGGAAAAAAATACCGTCCGTGACCCACGGATAGTCCCGGTCAACTACCGAATTGGGAATTACATTTGAATAAATTAACAAGCGACCACAACGCATATTGTAAGTACCTTTAACACACGATATTACATTATTATTATTATGCGTACATCGCTTGTTGTTTAATCGATGCGCACTTCGATTGACTTATTTGACGTAACAATAATGACGATGATAATTAATATATTATAATGAGTATAACGGCCGAACGCGACGATCGAAATGCAGTGTATATTGTGTAATATGTATTAACACTACTAATATTACACATTCCTCCGCTGCCACTTCTTTTCAGGTATATTATGGAGGTTTTGCAAATACCAACACCATGGGTTACATAAAGGTATTATACCTATGTAAATTGTTTGTATAATATATATATTTACCAATTCCTAGCTGTATCTATTCATCGGTCGTACGTATATGACGTGTTTAACGATAGTTTTTATTTATGTATTAGTAATTGTATTTTCGCAGAAGTATTGAACAACGGTGTATCACGACGGTTTTTTGGACCGGAGGAATTGACGTTGTTTTTTACGAGATTGATGGTATTGATGTGAACAATTAATAAAAGTATACACCTGGAGGCCGTGATTTGCGCGTGCATGATTTGACATTCCGTCATTTACGCCCGTGTTAAACGATTGTAGCACGGCATAATATATTATGCAGACCAACGTCTGTAGTCTATATGTGTGTATATAGGTTGGTGTACGCGTGTCTGTGTGTATATAGGTAACATATAATATTGAAAAATAATAAAAACGTTGTTTAAACAAAATCCATATACCGTACATTGTAAAAGTATACCTTATCCAGTTATGGAATTATGATTGTATTCGAAATCATGGCTTAAAATAATTAATAAAATGTTCAATATTCGAATATTACAATAAATTTACAATTCTTGATTTGAGACAAAAAGAGGCAAGAAAGTTAAGTATGTATAAAATATGATAGGTGCACTGTGATACACGTAATGATGATAATATATTAATTATTATGACGTTCAGATTTGTAAAACATTCTTTAAAATTGTAGGGAAGTAGGAAAAAATTTGGGTTTTAGTGACATAATCACATAATGAAAAAAAAACTAAATAGGTTTTGATTTTTTTGTGATATAACTACTGTAGTCAAAATATGAGTCTAGACTTCTAGACGAACAATGTTTGAGCCACCGTGCGTTGCAGTTATTTCGACGGCAACCTATAAATTGTGCACATCGCAGCGTTTCGAAGTGTTATTAGAAAAACAAAAAAAAATT